CCAACTCAAAATCCCACCTCGGAAAATATTTTTCCAAGTTAACGACAAAGGGAAAAAGAAAATGTGGGCATGCAGTAGCAGTAGTAATGAATCAAAAGTTTGGGATCATATTCATATGCAGTAACGAATCTAAAGCATTGATGAGAACAAACCTAGATAATATTTATCGTTCTACTTCAACTGTTGAATCTTGATCCGTTGCTATCTGGAAAAGTAGAAGTTTTATTAATTAATATAGCTTTTGGATTTGTCATTTGCTCTTTGCTTGTGAATCATTGAAGAACGGAAATAAAGCGATGTTTCATTTAAAAGAAATTCCTTTTTCATAAAATATTATCAAAGCTCATTGCTTTTATTTAATTAAGGAACATGCTTTACTTTACTAGACACCCTTTCCATCCAACTTTTGAAATTTGCTTAAAAGTATCTTCGTTTTTAATTAATCGACTAATCTAAATCAGTTCCCTTCATTAGTCGCATACTTTGTTGAACAATCTATAATCATATAAAGAGTACCTAACTAGTCATTTTTATAGTCGTTCGAATTTCAATTTGATTGATATCATCACTGTAGTGACTTCGAACACGCTGAAGGAACATGCTTAAGCACATAATTACCTCCAATAATGCGAAATATATGACAATTTTACCCCATTCTTAATGACATTACCCTAGTAATGGTAGGAAGAATATGGTTGAGGATACCTCAAGGAAGGGTACATTCATCAATTGCAATGAGGCCTTTGAAGGTTTCTAAGAGTGCTAAGAATATGGTCTAAGGAGGATATAAATTTCTAACAGATTGAATGAAAACATTTCTTTAATAAGTATCAAACATCTTTACTGCACTCGATAGTAAGATCTTCGGTTGCATGCAACATGCACTACCGATGAAATTCCTCCTATTGCTTTTCACAAAGAGAAATGTTATGATAAGCCTGACATATCTAGAGCACCTGTAAATGGATTATAAAGCAAAAATTCCAATAAATCAAAACAATAATCCAACTCCCCCTTTCTTGTACTGGTTTCATTACCAACCGGCTCATCTAAAAAAAAAGGTAGAGGTGGCATCATATTAGTGCTAACAATTCAGTATCAGGCATTTGTTGAAGTTCTTTCAATAAAATAAGAAAATGTGAGGCCATAGAACTACCACAATAATACCAAGCATAGCACGTTTTGGTTTCTGCAACCTTCGAACAGCACAAACGCGAGTTCTTCACTGACTAGTACCACGAGTTTTGGTCCTCTTCCTTTCAAACTCCAGCTGCAAAAAGAAAATTAACTTAAATAAATGATATTCTAACAACCATATAACTAGAAAAGGAAAATATGCAGGTCCATTTGTGCTTCTTACCACTTTTCTCACACGTTCATTGGCTGCAGGAGTCCCCTCCCACTAACAGATTCGGGGAGATATGGACTGCTCACATGCACCTCATTCATTACAACAATGACGGTCTTGTCCCAGCGAACAGGAAGCCTGCTCATATGCATTTGTGTTAACGTAAAAATTTTAAGTTTTCAGCATAACTATCCAGAGCAATAAACTAATTAACTTCAAAGAAGCCCATAGGATAAGATAACAATTAGTACCTCCAAAATTTAGTCAATAGGCATTGAGCCAGATATCAAGAATCAGTCTAAAAATACTTGTGCATTTTGGTTGGGAGATAAAATCAAATAACAACAACACTTCACATATCACCCTAAATCCTAATATGTCCAAGTAAAAAAGAAGAAAAGAAGATAACACTGAACGTTAGGTCACATCTTTGGGAGAAAAATGAGCAAAAAGCATATGCTCAGGTCACAGTCCATGTGTGAGAATCAAAGATGGTGCCATACATGTAACCATAGTGACAACTAGCTATACATGCCAGGAAGGCTGGCCAAGTGGCTCTGGAAGCCTAGGTGATTTTGGGAGGGCTGGCAGGATCTGGAATTCTCCAGACTCCTCTTTTGAGATAGATCCAGAGAAAGTGAGAAACTAATCAAATTTTTATAGTATGGAATCGGTTCCAGCCTTATTGGACCAGTGAAACTTGGGATGAACAAACAATGAGAACACATTCTATTTCCAGCTCAAGCTTCAACTTCGGCTATGTTTCAAACGAGAATGAGAGGTATTTCGTTTATTTATTTTTATGGTTATTCTACCATAGCTAAACTTTTCACGGATGTTTCAGGACAGATTAGGCAAATGCAGTGATAGCAGTGGAATTTGTTTGTTTCAGGACCAAGCCGACAATTCGAGGCATATGCTTTCTTTGGGGATTTTGGCAGACTACAATGAGAAATCTCTGCCATTTTGTAATTGTTTGACTGGCTTTCAGCCAAGTTCTCAACAGAATTGGAACCAGCAGGTTTATTCTGGAGGGTGTGTAAGGAAGACCAAACTGCAGTGCAACAATGCCAGTGTTGGTATTGGAAGGGTGAACCATTTTTTTTAGAAAGTGACTACACAACTTTCCCTGTAATCCACAAAATACGATGGTTGATAGCAATATGGAATGCAAATCAACCTCTATACAAAATTGGTCAAGTACTGCTTATGCTAATGAAAACAATCAAAGCTCGATTTGGATCGGAGATCTCTTGAATCCACAACAACTTGGACAAGATGATACTACAGGGAAAACTGTACCTATCAAGATGGTGATTCTGAGATTTCTAGTGAATCTAGTCCCACAAATAAAAATAGTGATTGATATTCCCATTCCTATTCCAGCAAGACGATCCCTTTAGGGCTTATGATGCTCATAATCATGAGAGGGAGGTGGAGAACAATTATCACCATGCAAAGATTTACAGAAAGCAGTGAGTTCCTAGAGGCTTGCAAATGCACGTAGAGTGTTTGAATGCTGAATTAAGGGATACTGAGGAGTAAGGCAGAAGGCGCAGGCCTTAAGTTGTACAGTAGCAGAGCTATAGTCCCAACAAGTGGCACTTACAGAATCCTAGCTCACTTAATTACAGATTCCAATGGTTAAGTACCCAAGGTTGATAATTATCAAGGCTTTGGGTCAATTCAAGAATTAGGATTGTGACAAGATCTAAAAAATATTAATGCATCCTAAAAAAACTTCATACTCTAAACCTACTGATCTCTGTTATGTTTTCCTCCTCAACCCTCCTGAATTAGCTAAGATCATAAACATTCATAATTTTATCACATCTTAATTAATCATCAATCAGGGGCACCTTTAATAATATTCAACACATAAATATAAGTTGCAACATATGAACTGTGAAGTACTGAAGTCACTATATCATAACCTATCAGAAGTCATCTCACTTAGAGGTACTAAACACTATATTTCTCCTAAGAAGAACATATATCATTTCTGCAAGAGAATACTATCGCAAACTGTGGTGAGACACAACAAATGCGTTTCTTATTCTACCATCCTGCATTGTAAACAGTTCATCTTAGCTTTTACCCTCACTCAATAATTGCTTTCTGCCTACACTCCTGCTCCACAATTTCAACCAATTTTCTGTCTCCCTGCTAATTCTAAGCTTTATCTTTAACAGGATAACCTCAATGCCCCAACAACACGCTGACGTTATGCTTTCAAGAGGTTCACATACATCCCTTAAACAATATAGAACGAATTCCCTATCTTTATACTTGAGAAAAATAACTATGATCATAACAATCCCTTCAAAATTTTTAAAGAAGGAATGAACATACGTGTTAGACAAAGCATCAAAAAGGGTCTGTGCCTCACTGGTAGCTCCAACACCAAACCTCTCGGAATCAGCCTCAGCTTGCCTGCAAAAACACGTCATTGAATTTGAATGAGACAAGAAAACCCTAGATATGGGATAAAATGAAATACCTAATAGCTGAATATTCCCTTGCTTGAAGGCTGGTAAGATCCAAAAAAACATTTCTTGACATCAAGTGGATCTTCATCTTGACGAAGCAAAGAGAAGTCTTTAATGTAATTAGCCTTGAGCAAACGAATGTTCCTTCTGGGTCCAGATTCCAAACCCTCTTGGAGTAGGAGGATGTTGGCGAGGCGGTCGTAGCTGATTATCTGACCTTCGAATTCGTCGCCCAAAGTTATCTTGATTGAAAACAAGCAACCCACTGCGAATTCCTCACCATCCATCCCTTAATTCAATCTCTGCTCACTGCTACGCTTTTTTCTTCTTATTTTGCAAATTTCATCTCATTTGTCTTCTTCATTTTTCATTTGAAGACCGAAAGAAGTCAACATTAGAGATTGGGCCAAACAAAAACTTTACAGTTTGCATTGCATTGCATTATGCCTTTTACACAGTGATGTTATGGAGTCGAATTTTTTGTTTATTCAATCTGAAATTTAACTTTTGGATGAGAATGTACATTTAATCTCACTCGATCTGATATTATATATATATATATATATTATTTTTATTAGATAAATTAATTAAAAAATATATAAAGAAAAGTTGATATGTTATTACAATTATCTTTAAATATATAAAATAATAATTATAATATTATATGAAATTAGATTGGATCAAACTTTTTATCCTAAATTTAAATTTGATTTGACTCAAACTTATATTTTAAAAACTTGACCTAAACATAAAATTTTTCTTAAAAAATTTAACATAATCGAGTCAAATATTCATCTCTACTTTAAAGTTTATTATCATCTTTTTCTTCTTCATTGGGTCCAAACTATATATATATTGCATTAGATCAAACTTAAGTCAAATTAAAATTAAATGATTAAATTAAAAATTAATTCTTTATATTAATAATTTAATATATTATATCACCTAAATATCGACAGTTTCCATGATCAAAACATTATATATCAATAACTAAAATGACTAAACATTAATTGTTTTTAGATTTAATGACCAAAAGTGAACATTAACTTTTTATAGAATGAAAGTGACCATCTAAATAATTTACCCTATTAATGTTCACACTAAACTCTTCAGGTATTGGAAAAATCAATTATTTGGATTCATAATCTAAACCCATTTGACTCGGTGCATCCTTATTGCTGAAATGATACAACGTCAACCCATCCTGAAACCCACACCCAGGCCTTTTGCATTTGTACAGAAAATCAATTGGAGTTCCTTCACGCATTCCGACATCGAGGGTCGCTCTCCGCTCTCGATACGGACACAACGTGATGCTAGGTTTGCGAATATGGCTATAGATTCAATGGTGTATGAATTTCGAGCCATCTCCGGATCGATCACCTTCCGTAACTTCTTCCGGTCGTTCAATATGTGCCTAACTTGGAGTACAAGGTTTTGATCATTTGGCCCCTGATTTATGTCGACAGCTCTGCGTCCGGTCAATAGCTCTAGAAGAACGACGCCGAATGCATAAACATCGCTTTGTAAAGTTAGTTTCCCGGTCTGTCACCAAAGAAAATGAGTAAAATCATGTGAAGAAAAGATGTGCAATAGTTCTGTGACATGTAATGCATACCGATGTATATTCGGGATCGAAATATCCGAATGTTCCGAGAACTCTGGCCGTCACGCAAGTCTCTTGACCCTCTGGCATCAGTTTGGCAAGTCCGAAATCCGATATCTGTGAAGAGTAGAAAACCAAGCTGTTGTTACGAATGCTTTCTAATCTCATTGACTCATGAAAATGTACCGTGCTTCGGTTACCTTTGCTTCGAAGTTGGCACTTAGAAGAACATTGGTGGACTTGAAATCTCTGTGAACTATTGGGATTCCAACAGCAGAACTAGAATGGAGATAAGCAAGTCCCCTGGCTGCACCAAGTGCCACTTTCAGCCTTGAAGGCCAATCCATTTTTGTTTCACCGATACCTAATTGAGTAGTTTGATATTGGTTAGATGTTCAATAGGTGAAGAACTCGATCGGAATCAGATTCGAGTCGAAAACCGACCGTTTAAATGATCTTGTAGGTTCCCTTTTCGCATGTATTCATAGACTAGAAACCGGTGCTTCCCGTCTGCACAATAACCTATCAACGAAACCAGATTCGGATGGTTGAGTCTGCTCAAGATATCAACTTCTACACGGAACTCGCGTTCTCCTTCAGCTTCTTTGAACGGCGGCAACTCCATCTTCTTGATCGCAACAACCTGATCAGAATATAGAAAGAAAACAAATGTACTTATTGGTTATTGCCATAGTGATTCTATACGGAAACAACATTATGAAAGTCATTAGTATACCTCTCCTGTTTTCAGGGTGCCCTTGTTGACTCGGCCGAATCCTCCTTTGCCGAGCAGATTCTCATCACTGAATGAGCATGTCGCCGCCTCCATCTCCTTCAGTGTAAAAACCGATGATCCATGGCGTCTCTTCGTCGGTCCAGGTGTTTGATCCTCGATTTGCCAGTACTCTGCTGGTTTATAAATCCCTGAAAAGCAGGCAAGTAACATGTTGAAATTTTTATGTTATTGGTAATAACAAATACAAAAAAAATATATATATACCAAAATTTTACAAAAATTTTAAATTTTTATGAGTCGACCACTTATGGGAGTTTTCAAGAATGAACTAGTTATCACATGTAACAGAGCAACATACAAGGATCAGTATGATTCCGGGGCTTGCTTCTCCGGCGCTTGTTCCATGCCGAGATTAAACCTAAAGGCATTTGTCTCTCCTCCTTGGCCCGATTTATCTCCGTTTGATGATCGGAACGACAGCTTTTATTACATTCAACAAACAACTGGACAAAGAATATGAAGAAATGAGTTGGCGTCATAAACAGATGACAAGGAGCTCAATAAAAGATGAGTTTTTTTAAGCTAATGGTTGAAGAATATGAAGAAGTAATGATCGTTTCCGAGGATGTGGGTAACGAAAAGATTGGACAGTAGAGAAAGCTGCTGAAGAGTACATGGAGCAGGTGAAGTTAGGAGATATAGAGAATACTCAACATGTTTCCAACAACCTCATTTCAGGTTACAGAGACAGGTAACTAAGAGAGATGTACTTGAACGTAAAGAAAAAGTTGGGTCTTTGCTTTACTTTGCTTGCTTTCTTACCTTTCAATGGCTAATTTGGTTTTGGTTTGGTTAAGAAGTATAAAACATTTGTCCAATAAAACAATAAAGTCCCGAAAATACGAAAAGATAAGCTTTTATATTTGACAGTGTTCGAACTCATTTATCTCTTAAGATATGGTTGATAGTAAGATATGTATTGTGACAGTTGCAAGTAATTTCTCTCTTTAGTTTAGATGGAGAATTACGGTCAATTATTTTATAAAGAAGAAAAGAGAGTTCCTGCTCAGATCTCCTCCATTGCTAGCACATTGCTTGTCAAGGCCTCCGAATTCAAAGAATCCTCCAAACGATTATAGTTCCTTAGCCTCCGGAGTATCAAGAGTTTAAATTTTTCAAACCATCACAATCTCCTGATATGATCATTAACCGGCTCATAAATATGTCAGAATTAAATATACTATCTGATAATAATATTTACAAACCATGTTCGTCCACGAATAGTCATCGTGATTAAACCTAATACAAGCACTAAGGGTCGATATTAAGTTATCATGCATAGAGCTGTAAATGAGCCGAGACAGATCGCGAGCTACTCGAGATCGACTCGATCAAGGCTCAATAAATACTCGGATCAAATGGACTCGACTCGAGTTCTTAACGAGCTAAAACGAGCTACTCGATATTCGACTCGAATAGCTCGTGAACAGCTCGAAAATATAATATATTAAGATTTTATTTAAAAAAAATTATTAATAATATTAATATTTATGTATTGATTTTTTTTTTAAATACAATAAGATTTTCATGTATTTAAAGTTCATGTTCGAGTTTGAGTTTTAGGCTTCAATTGAGTTAAGTTTAAGATTTTTTCTTTCTTTTCGAGCTGCTCACGAGGTTCAGTTCATGATTTCGAGTTCGAGTCGAGCTTGAAAATTTTAAGCTCGCGAGTTTTCAAGTCGAGTCGAACTCTATTTCAGAGTTTTTGAGTCGAGTCGAGCTTAGCAATACTCGAGCTCGACCCGTCTCGTTTACACCCATAATCATGCATAGTTAGAATGGCTATGAAGTACTCCTTTTTCTTCTCCCGGGCTCTATATTATCCACCAACCTTTAACTCATCATTCTTTATAAAATTATGGATCTTAACTCATCATTCAAATCAAAAGAGATAAACTGCTTAGCAATCTACATTTATCATAAACATTGTGCAATATAATTTTGGCCAATTATTTAATAGACGACATTTGCATACCTCTTTCGAAAAGAGTCAAAAAATTCCTCAACAGCACCCTTATAAAACTAGATTATTCAAAGGCTATTATCTTCTTCTCTTCCTTATTGTGTTTGGAAGTAGCTTTCATCTTCCAAAGGAAAATGACTTATCTTAGCACTGGAATTTTGTAAAGCTGGGTTTGCAGTAAACAAGAGACATCGGCATGCAACGACGGTGTAACAGAAGAACTCCATTACCTTAAAACTTGTGACATATTACCTCCTATATCTCATGCAAGCAGTAACCATACGACTCTAAGCACTAACCCGCATTGAGTATGTACGCATAGAGAATGGACGCGGAATTTTAGGTTAAAGGATGAATTTATATAACTTTATAAATGAACAAATTTATAAAAATTAGGAAAGTGAAAACAAATTATCAATTTGAGATACAAATGATATATTTAAAATTTATACTAATTCAAGATTTCTAAGAGACGACTGTTCTGCTTGTTCTCCTTCGATCTATCTTTATACATACGAATCAAATAAAAATTGAAATTGAATTCTATTATTAATTGAATTTGTTGCTTAAACATTCTTAGAAAAGTGTATTGGAAACAATTTATAATGACGTGCTTGGTTCAAATTCCAAAAGATGTTATACAAGGCTTTTATGTCATTTGAAAAGGTATAAAGATAAAATTAACCTATAATGTTTGGATGGATAAATCATCTAAATATTTAATATTTTAATTTTTGGTCAAAATAATAAAGGATTCATTAATCGATTAACGATAAACATTTATTGCTGACGTAATATTTTGACATATACTTAATTAAATATATGATATATATTACACTATCATTTTAGATGATGTGATATGTTTGGATAATGTGACAGGTGTCATCTTAACTTTATGGTGGCATGCACATGTTACATCAATAATTAGATATATGTAAAAATACCACGTCAATAATATATGTTAATAATTAGTTAACTAACAACCTTCATCAAACATGGACTATTTTGAGAAGGAAAAAATATTGATGGTTAAAATATTTTAAAAAAAAATAACGGTTAAAGTGGTTATTTGTATAAATATTAATTTTTTTATCATTATACTATTGGAAAAACATTTTTACTTGGGAAACGTGTTTTTTTAAACTTATCAATCATTTAATTTCGGTACAATAAAAAATTTATAAAATCATTTAAAAAAAATAATTTTAAAAATATGCATTTAAATTATATATAAATTAAGATTTAAAAATCAATTGCGTTCGGAAAATTTAAAGCATTACACATCTAAAAAAAATTTATAAATTTAGAAAATGACCATGCTGTCAGGTTCGTATCAATTTGGTACGTAGACCCACCCAACCCTAATCCATTCATTTAAGGAAAACTGATTCAATCAATTGGAATCAAATAAAAACTTATTAAGTTCGGGAAAATATTTTATCGTTAGTAGCCATCGTTGCTACCCTTGGACAAAAGAGTAAATGTTGGACATTATTGTCGAGGAGTTTTCAAGTACATCCATGGCATTGAACCACTGTCAATCACCAACTATTTTTCTACTTCAGCGACTTATTAACTAAGCCCCAACCGAGTAGGGGAGCAAGAACGAATTTTCAAAAAAGTATGTATAATTTTAGACACAATGTTATTATAAAATATAGATGTAATATAATAAATAATTAAAATGTGCATCTAACATATTAGGTTCTAAATAATTAATACAAAATATAAATTGAAAATTGGTCTGGGTTATCAACACTGTGAAAATGAAGAAGAGAAAATTGGGTTATCAGTTAACCACGCTTCAATGGAGGCCTCAAGAGATTTTATTGATAACAATGGTTTGGTTGATTTACCTTTAGTGGGATCCAAGTTTACCGGGAGCAATTTCGTCGGAAAATCCGACGTTGTGCAGATTGGATAGAGTTTTCATTTCGCCAGATATTTTTCATAAGCTTCCGAGCCTCAGTCTCTTGGCCTTACCAAAGTCAATCTCAGACCACAACCTCATACTGGCCCTAATCGAAGGCTACATCTCCGGGTCGAGACCGTTTAATTTTTTTAATCGCTGGATGGAACATCAAAACTACAATAGAATGATTTTGGACTCTTTTAAGACGCTGAAAGGATCCGAAATTGGCGTGTGCTTAGGGGATCGAAGGTTGCAATCAAGAGATGGGTGGCATCGAAAAGAAATGAAATAAGAATTCTTCGTTCAAGACTCTGGGGTTTACACAGAAGGGACGAGAGGTAGTGGCACCGAAAAGCAAGGGTCCAATGGATCAGAGAGGGAGACATAAATACGACCTGCGAACAGAAGATCCAATCGGATTCACAAAATCTGGAATGATAGGAAGGCTTTGGAAGACCCGAAAGATATCCGTATGGTAATTCAGAGACAATTCTGCAAGGCATATAATCTTTGCTCCACAAGCAATCAGGAGGATTTTAACTGTGAATTAAAAATCATAAAGACGAGTGATTGTCAGTGGCTTGAAAAGTAATTTGAGGAAACTGAAGTCTGGAATGTTAAGTGTGTAAGAAACAATAAAGCGCCTGGGCCAGACGGATTGAACATGGAATTCATTAAAAGATATTGGAAACAAGTCATGACTAATATCATCAAATTGCTTCGGACCTTTGGGAAGGTACAATATCAAAATCTGAATCATTCTTTTATCACATTGATTCCAAAAGTCGAGTCACCACATACCATAAACGACTTTTGACCGATTAGTCTTGTTGGTTGCATTTATAAAATTGTGGCAAAAACCCTTGCGAATAGTTTGTTTTCTCTAATGGATGGAATTATTGGGGAAAATCATATCACCTTTATCAAAGGAAGTCGATAGATCCTGGATTGTGCTCTGGTTGCAAATGACCATGGATTTTCTAAAAAGGAGAGGATCGAAGTGTGCTATTTTTAAAGTGGACTTCCAAAAAACATATGATTGTGTGGATTGAGATTTCCTGGATCTTAGGATGGAGAAGATGGGTTTCGACTTTCGTTGGAGAGGTTGGATTTGATCTTGCATTTCATCTGCAATGATATCGGTTCTGGTCAATGGTTCCCCGATGGATAGTTCAATATAAAAAGAAGCCTTAGACAAGGATGTCTATTCTCTCCGCTTCTATTCAACAAATTTAATGATATTATTTTTGAAGTTTCACAAGTCATGATCTCGTCGATCTTCATTGAATTTCATCACCAGGGGTTGATGAGGGATAGATGGGTAATTATCTCTCTAAAAATTTTAAATTATCTTATATTTTAAAAATTTTATTTATATTTTCCATTGATAATTTGTTCTTGCTTTTAGAATTTTATAAATTAATTCTCCTTAAAATTTTATCTCTTAACTTAAAATCCTTAACTCTATCTTGTCTGCCACTAACCCTTATCCTCTATAACTATATAAATAGATCCATGCAAGCTGTAAGTGAAGCACTAAACCTTCTCTTCTATTTTTCTATAATTAAACCAAAGAATTTTGCTTCTTTTTCTCATTTGTTACACCTTCCATAGCAATGACATGCAACGGGCAACTTGAAGTGG